AACAGGGCAGGGGAAGCTATGAGATTTCCATCCCATTCCCAAAAATGTTACCTTTGATTGGTGGCTGTTGCACATAGTTCTAAAAATGCATCCTAGTACCAGACATGCTGATTCTAATTCTGGGACTTATTTCTTTTACAAAGTTAGTGAGCTACTTAATCTTTTTTTTAAACATTATTTCTATATATAACTAATATTTCTTGCAACACAGTAAAACTTTGCAAAGGGGATATAAAACAGAAAGTAAGAGGGCTAGATGGCCCTGTAAATGTAAAATGTTAATATTTTATTTGTTATGGATTTATTGCATGCATTTTATTTTAATGGTGGGATATATAAAAACAGATCACAAAAGCTGCATATTTTTGTCTGCAGCCTTTGCAAGCCCTCCCCACTACAGACTTGTGATGTCTTTGCAAGGCAGGTGCTCTGGGCAATTACCTATCTCTTGAGTTTACCTGCGCTAGGGGCCAGTGAAAGGACCTTTGGTTACCCAAGAAAAGGTGCATTTTGCTGCCCCCAAAATGTGCCTGTTCCTATGTCTGTGTGGCAATTTAACCCCTCCATGATTTGGCAAACTTAGAGAAGTGCATGCTCCAATTTCAACTAGAGAAGAAGAAAGATTGTTGTAATTAACAGTCTCCTGATTGGCGAGCAGAACAGCAAGAAGAGACTTGGTGCTGGAGAAAAAGGTATGTAAACTGTATCTTCATGTTGGGAGGTGACTGGCATCAAGTGGGATAAATAACGGAAATTGAGACTGGATTAAGTGGCCCATGGTGGCGGTGGGGTTATGGTATGGACAGGCATATGTTATGGATAACGAACACAGGTGCATTTTATTGATGGCATTTTGAATGACGAGATCCTGAGGTCCATTGGTGTGCCATTCATCCACGACTATCACCTCATGTTGCAGCATGATAATGTACGACCCCATGTTACAAGGATCTGTACGCAATTCCTGGAAGTTGAAAACATCCCAGTTCTTGCATGGCCAACATACTCACCGTACATGTCACCCATTGAGCATGTTTGGGATGCTCTGGATCGGCGTATACGACAGCGTGCTCCAGGTCCTGCCAATATCCAGCAACTTCACACAGCCATTGAAGAGGAATGGACCAACATTCCACAGGCCACAATCAACAACCTGATCAACTCTATGCGAAGGAGATGTGTTGCACTGCGTGAGGCAAATGGTGGTCACACCAGATACTGACTGGTTTTTGGACCCCCCCGTATCCTTCCAATACAGTAAAACTGCACATTTTAGAGTGGCACCTTTTATTGTGGCTAGCCTAAGGCACACCTGTGCAATAATCATGCTGTCTAATCAGCATCTTGATATGCCACACCTGTGAAGTGGATGGATTATCTCGGCAAAGGAGAAGTGCTAACTAACACAGATTTAGACAGATTTATGAACAATAATTGAGAGAAACAGGCCTCTTGTGTACATAGAAAAAGTCTTATATCTTTGAGTTCAGCTCATGGAAAATGGGGGCAAAAACAGAAGTGTTGCGTTTATAATTTTGTTCAGTGTAGATGTGCCAATATCTACTTGCGTTTTTCTCTGCCGAGGCTCATAGACATATCACTTACCCTGTCATATTAACATATGCATCCCGCACACTGATTGTGACTCAGCATGATCCACCACCCGCATTAACTTGTTCACCTTGCAAGCATATAGTATATCACACCCCTGGAGCCTTCAGGGCTCATATTGCCCTTTGTTAAAGGACCACTATAGTGCCAGGAAAACATACTCGTTTTCCTGGCACTATAGGGTCTCTAGGTTCCCCCCCACCCTTAGGGTCCCCATCCCGCCAGGCTCTAGGGTGAGGAAGAGGTTAAATACATACCTTTCATCCACCGCACTTATTTTATTGGTACTCCTGTCATATGTTGATCATGTTTTTACACTGCACTACAAAAATAAAGAATTGATTCATTTTTGAAGGCAAAGAGTGATCACACCAAATATTCATCTCCTTGAAAGCATTCTTAATATATATAAATATATAAAACTAATTCGCAAGTATATATTTTTAAAGCTACATTTGGTGTCCAGTCAGTTTTCCTCTAATTTGACTCCTCCGTGATAATGTATATTTCTTCTATTAAAAATGCCATGTATTAAAGGGACACTAAGGGCATCAAAACAACTTTAGCTTAATTGCAGAGAATTGAGTAGTGAGGCCGCAGGTGTATGATCTACACACCAAAACGGCGTCAATAAAGCGAAAGTTGTTTTGGTGACTATAGTGTTCCTTTGAATTTAGTTGGCATATCTCTTGTTGGCATTAAAATTCTCTTTATTCTCTCTGATATAATGTCCATTTAAATATATCAATAGCAATTGAAATGCAGACATAGAAATCTGTTGTACGGAGCATGAACTTCTAACCTCAGTGTTTTTAGGGCATTGTGAATAATGCTTAGGGTGGTGTTAATTAATTGCAGGATGTTTAGACAATAGATGGAAGTCTGTTATTGATAGACTGATTTTGGTGCTAATATAGATCAAAAGATTGCAAGCATGCACATCAAAAAGAATAAGTGAAGGAAATACTTAAAATATTTTTCTTAAGTGTAGTTCATGCCACCTATGTTCTGGTGCCAATGTTGCCGACAGTACCCAGGTCAGATATGGGGTATCATTCCAATAACATGGATATTGAAATTAACCACATGCTTCTTAACCCCAAATAAATACAAGGTAACAGTTCTTTGGCACCTGTCTTCATGACAGAGAGTTACAGCAGGTGAGGACCCGAATACACAAACAACAGAGAAAACTGTATAAATGGAATAATCAAGCCAAAAGATGAGAGCACAGAGTTCAAACCACGTAGTCAGAAAAGTATAGAAATGCGCTATTGGGTCAGCAAGAACCACAACAGGGCACCTAGCCAGAGGCACAGCTGTATATTATCAACCATAGGCGTTTGCATCTAAACACATGAGGCTGTGCACCTAGAGAAAGAGAACATCTAAACTTATTATATACAATAAGGTACGCAAAAAAATGTTTCACACTAGGAGCCGGGTATATAATAAAGGCATATACATATAATCATAATTGTTATTCTTCAAAAATATATACCAAGCCAATCCAAACACACCCATATAGACCTAAACCAGAAAGGGAGGTGCATTTGGTCCAGCATTAGGGTGTGCCTAAGATAAGAACTTTTGTAGGTCAAATTAGATGGCCACATTTTAGCTGTAAGTAGTAAGGAGGGGAAGTAGATGGTCCACAATAGCTCCGGGTGATATAAAAGCTTGGTGCTGTCTCTGTGTGATATAAATGCTTTGTGCTGGCCAGGTAACTGTACCTAGTGTATATAGCTATTATCTTTACATATATACATACATAATTTTACATTCTATTGGCATTTTAGGATCCCCTATTCTCAAAATGTCATCAGCTTTCCGAATTGCCATTCTATTGGCCTCCTAGTGGGCATGTGCAAATATATCATGCAGAAAATCCAAAAAGTTATCCCAACCTCAACAAGGCCAAAAGGGGGCACTAGCTGGCTTTGCCCACTTCACACTCATGGTGGTTGTTCAACAGCTAATTGCATTTCTTTTTTTCATTAATAAAGAACTTTTAATGCCAAGATCCTTGCATAAAATATATTTTGTTATACTTGGTGTCTGTGGTTTGGTGGGATTGTCATAAAAAGACAGATACAAAAATAAGACTCAATGCGTCAATCCTGCATTCAGTAACCCTCGACACAAATTCACTCCTGAATTTACATAAATATTCATACTATATAATTTGGAAAACATGTCTATCAAAATGCTTCTGTATGTTGTTTTTTTTTACCTAGTATCTTTCCAGTCTGGCTACTAGGTTATATTTTTAATTCACATTGCGCTCATCGACACACGGAATATTCATAGTTTACCATATTCTGATGGTGTATTGATCCTTTCCACCATTTTTTTTTTGTCAGTCATTGCTAATGTTTAAGAGCTTTGAACACTTATATGGGTTTTACACAAATTAAAATGTCTTTGTTTAATGATTTATGGAATGTACATGATAAATATTTAACAAAGAACACATTTCTTTATTCCAATAGATAACATTTTATTACCCACAAAAAAAAAAACACAACTTGACTGACAATTTGGCTGACAAGTGAACTTTGAGTAGCTCTTGAAATTGCTTCTGGACCGGTAACTTGTTTTCTCTCTAGATTAATATGTATTCGATGTAGAGAAAATCTTTTTGACAATTATGAGGTAATAAGAACTTTACCTGTATTCAGTGTTAAACCATTTCTAATCAAGATTGAAAGCTCCTTCTAGCCTAATAGAGTACAAGTGGCTTTCTTAAAATTCCAAGGGCTTAAAGAAAATGACTTTAGAGAAGAACACTCGTTTCTTTCAGCTTAGTGGCTCTTTAAATACTTACACAGTCAAGAACGTAGAGTTCTAAGACTCTCCAAGTTTCAGAAAACCAGACACCGGGGAGCCAGGAATGTCATCAAGCAGAATCTGCATTCTTACAGAGATATAATGGAACCAATGCATATGTATCTCTTTGTAACTTACCTCTTGTGATGGAGCTCATATACTTTAACAGAGGACCTCGACCAGTTCAGCTTCGTCTTTGCTATTGGGAGGATTGCAGTCTGCCTGATGAGAGGACTTCAGTCACTTTATCAATGGATTCGATAGTCTTCAAATCCTAATGCAGTATTCACCTGCGTCTCATCCCCCCACCTCCTCCATGCATCTCACCCACCCAGCCCCTCCATGCATCTCATCCCTCCCTAGCCCCTTCAAGTGTGTCATAGCCTCCGTCCCAGCCTGTCCATGTGTGTCATTCATTCCCCACTACTGTAAAGTAAGTTTTTTGTGTGTGTTTTTTAAATTTTTTATTTTTTTCCTGAGTAGGATAGGGGTTGTGGAGGCTGAAAAGGGAGCATCTTTTTTTTTTTGAATATTTATTTTGTTACGGTAATTTTAAAAAATCAATTATTTAGTATATCTCCCCCATCCAGTGTCCTACCAGCATCCAGGGAGGGGGCAGCAAATTCCTTGGTGGTCCAGTGGTGCTGCAGAGGCTCTTTGCCTTCACCTCTGCCAGGTGAAGGCTCTTCCCGCAAGTCCCGGCACCACGTGGAATGGAGCGTTGCTGTGGTTACCGTGGCAACACTCGAAAAGCTGGGACTCAGCGCGGAGGTGAAGGCAGAGAGCCTCCTCCTCTTCCTGCTGCGCAAACTCTGCAAAGACCCGGGGAGAGAGATCAATAGATCTCTCTGACTGGGTCTGTGTGCTTGTAAGGGTCCCGGACTTGCGGGGCCCTCAGGTGGCCTGGGCCTCTTACAAGTGAAGTGGCTGTACCTCCCAACTGGCCCACGCATTATCTGAAATGTAAAACAATACATTCTTGCAGGATGTAAATTCTTCTGATGTCACTCTGACAGAAACTATAGGTGCTTGCTCTGAAATAACTTGAGATCATCTATCAGTCATAGAGACAGGGCAGCAGCTCAGAGACTTGGGATGAGAGGGTAAATAAATTATTTTTTCCCCTTGGACTTGGGGGAAAGGGAGGTACCTAAACTGCCGATACGGCACTATAGTATTAGGAATACACATTTGTATACCTAACGCTATAGTGTTCTTTTAATACATGTAGTATTAATCCAATTTTGCATTAGAGCAGTTGATCACTACTACCTCGTTCCATCTCTCCTTTAATGACCCAAAGTTATATCCATTCACTACAGCAGTACATCTCTTAGTGAAGAGGTGGGGAGTTCACAGTGGATACTATAATGGTTCCAAACCTTAATTTGGACCAATGCACATTAATGAGAGAGAGATTGCCAAGTCACACTTAACCTTGTTGTTTTACCATCATCAGTATGATTAATAGAAATAGATGCATACTTCTAGCCAAAATTACTTAGTGCTCTTAATTACAGTGAAGGGAAAAAAGTATTTGATCCCTTGCTGATTTTGAACATTTGTCCATTGACAAAGAAATGATCAGTCTATAATTTTAATGGTAGGTGTATTTTTAACAGCGAGAGACAGAATAACAAAAAACAAAATCCAGAAAAATGCATGTCAAAAAAAGGATATTTTTTTGTTATTTTGTCTCTCACTGTTAAAATACACCTACCATTAAAACGATAGACTGATCATTTGTCAGTGGACAAATTATACTTTTTTTTCCCTCACTGTATAAATGGCAATCCCAGTTTTAATGGCGACCTATATTTAGGACTGCATGCAGCTAATTATAGCCCTTAAAGAGATACTGTAGGCACTTTAACCATTCGGTTAACCATATCAAATCTTTATAGTATGCCTCCCAGCTGTAACAAGGTCATTGTTAGAAGTGCTTGTGCTGTGCAGCAGGCACTAGGACCATGAAGGGACCACTTCTGCAGCACTCTCTGCATGGTCCTGAAGGCCAGGGGCTGCCAGGAACCTTTTTCATGCAAGCATGCCCATATTTTGTGTTGATCCACCCCTTTTTGGCAGAAATGCCAATTGTGGGCGTCACTAGTGACTCAGTTTGCCTCACTGATGATGCCCCGTCCCATGTCCAGAGGCCACTAGTTGGGAGGTATATTATAACCATACCAATTCATCCCAGCAATGGGCCCTATGATAGGCTGAAAATGGTCTGTTGAAACTCTCAGCCAATCACAGCTGCCCGTTGCTGTTCAGGATGGTCTGTTAGGGACTCTGGTCTAGCAGTAAACATTAAGAAGAATTTAACACTTAAAGGACCACTCTAGGCACCCAGACTACTTCAGCTTAATGAAGTGTTCTGGGTGCCTGGTCCTTCTAGGGTTAACCCATTTTTTCATAAACATAGCAGTTTCAGAGAAACTGCTATGTTTATGAATGGGTTAAGCCTTCCCCTATTTCCTCTAGTGGCTGTCTCATTGACAGCCACTAGAGGCGCTTGCGTGCTTCTCACTGTGATTTTCACAGTGAGAGCACGCCAGCGTCCATAGGAAAGCATTATCAATGCTTTCCTATGTGACCGGCTGAATGCGCGCAGCTCTTGCCGCGTGTGCGCATTCAGCCGACGGGGAGGAGAAGAGGAGGATCGGAGGAGGAGAGCTCTTCGCCCAGCGCTGGAAAAAGGCAAGTTTTAACCCCTTTCCCCCTTCCAGAGCCGGGCGGGAGGGGGACCCTGAGGCACTATAGTGGTCCTTTAAGAGAAATATGGTTCCAGAGGTCTCCAGACACTATAACCACTTTAATGAGATGAAGCAGTTACACTGCATACAGTGTCCCTTTAAGTCAATGTGCTCATTGCACAATTTGAACCTGCTATAGAGGTTACTATTGAGATTATCACAAGCTTGTTTGTACTCATTGTATATATTTAGCTCTCTTTTAAATAAACTATATCCTGATTCATTCCTTTTATGTCCTTTTTTTCCTATGGCTTAGTCACTTTCTTTATCATATACTCTTTCTTATTTCTATCCCTCACGTCTGTAGTGTGTTAACATTGCATGAGGTGTTAATGACTCTTGAAAGCCAGAGCTCGGGTGATAATAGTTTTTTTTTGAACACCTCAGGTTAATAACCACATTTAGCTCTATCCGCAAAATACGTGTTGATAAGTATTGTTAATATAATAATTCTGCTGTGCCCTCTTTCTTTACATAGCTCTTAGCTTCTATGGTAACATCAATAAACTCTTACTTACAATAAATCAGCTACTCGTCCAGAATACCTCACTATTCAGAGATCCATCTTCCATGGTGGTAATCTTTAATTAACAAGTTTCACATTAATCTTTGCATTATTGGAGCTTGCCCTCCATTGAGTTGTATGCATCAGCAAATTTGTCCATCTTGGCCTCAAAGTGAGTAAGATCAAATATCGTGAACTCACTTATACGTTATACGACTTATAGACTGTATTCTATGCCCAAACCCCCCCAGTGAGGAACAAGTGCTGTACAGACACTGTGGGTGGCCATGGGGGTGGGGTTTCAAGTGGCAATTTACAATGCAAAATATCACAAAATGGATGCACACGGTGACACATGTAGAGTAAAATATTTTATTAACATAAATCAGAGATGTCACCAACATAAAAAAACACAATAAGAACATTTCATTAAAAAAAAATAATAATAATTTAAGTTCCCCTTTAAGTTACCAGCAGAATAAACACCTAAATTCTCGCAATGTAATTGTACCTGGTGTCTGGATTAGTCTTAAGTGACATTAGCTGCTTTATGTAGTGCTGTGTTGATTCACGTCTTCCAGCAATGATTGTATAAAGGAGCCTGGTTAGACTTAGTATTATTATTTATATAGCACCAGCTTATTCCAAAGGGCTTTACAATAAAAGTGGAATTTACCAAAGGAGACCATAACAAAATGTAACAGGAACAATAGGTAGTTAAGGGACCCTGCTCAAAGGAGCTTACCGTCTAGAGGAGGTGGGGTACAAAAACACAATAGGAAGGGTATTGAGAGAGACAGCAAATAGACATGGTGGGAAAGTAGCAGAACTGGAGGTGAAGGTTGAGTGTGGTCCTATAGGAGAGAGCAAGAGAAAGGTTTGAGAGATAGAAGTTACGCTTGGAGGCCATAAGCATTCCTGAAAAGATGGGTTTTGAGGGACTTCTTAAAAGGATTGAAGACTAGGGGAGAGGCTGACAGGGGTAGGCAGGCTGTTCCAAAGGAAAGGAGCCGCCCATGAGAAGTCCTGCAGGCGTGAATTTGCAGTAAAGGTGCGAGCAGCAGACAGGAGAAGGTCACCAGTAGAGCGGAGAGACAGAGAGGGGGCATACCTATGAATCAGTGAAAAATGTAAGAGGGGCTAGAGTTGGTTAATGGTTAGGGCTCTATAGGTAAGGATTACTATTTTAATTGACAATTGTAGGGTACAAGAAGCCAGACTTGATGACACTGATCAGTCGTTAAATATTACCTGGTCGCTGGTCTTTTACATGAACATGGAACAAGGAGGGATTGAGAACCATAATGTGAATTTCCTCTTGGTAATTCTCTACTTCACTCTGTTTAGCATGCAGCACGACACCAGCTGGAGTTAATGGCTTCTGTCTATTTTTATTGTTGTTTTTGTGGTTACAGCATCTCATAACCTTACCAGTAGGTGGTTTCCCTTACCCCACCGCAAAAAATAAAATAAATAATGTGTAACCACTAGATTTAGAAGTATAAAGGGACAACTCCAGGCTCAAATACTACTTCATTAATATGCTCTATTTAGCACCCTCAAATCTTTTTTAGTTTTTGCATAAAATAGATGTTTTGCAGAATGCTGCACCATAAACCTGTCTATTTAGCCAGATCTCCTCACTCCAGAAAAAAAAACTTTCTTATCAAAGATATGCACACAGTTAAGTCACTGTTAGTACTGAATGACCTGAACAAGAAAACAACCTGTGAGACATGTAGTAAGGGTATCACTACCTGTTTGTAGTTTCTCTGATTGTGAGCAGCCAGGTTGTGGATTAAAAGGGACCTGTCATGCACCAAACTACCTATCTATCTATACATTGTGCCAGCCAGGCCTGGACTAGTCTTCGGGCAAACCTGGCAAATGCCTGGTTTGCCGCAATGGCCATTGCTCGAGGATTGCAGTGGAGCTCAGAGGATCTCCCGTGACGGCCCATGCAGAGCCAGCAAATTCCAAGCGCAAGCCCTGCTGTGTGCCATGACAGGCCAGTGGAGGGATCAAAGATCTCCCTCACGGCCCACTGGCACATCAATCTGGAGAGGAAGAGGGTTCGGGAGCTCTAGCCTGCAACTCCGCCAGGTCATGAAATTTTCTCTATTGAGGTCGGAGCGTTGCCATGGTTACTATGGCAACTCTCTGACCAGATCTCGTGATAATGAACTCTAGCCCCAAGAGCTGCAGGGTAGAGTTCACTCACCACTGGCCCGCCTCCCTGAGCAAAGGTAAGAAGGGAGGGGGAAGGGGGGGGAAATCAACAGGTTTTTTAATTAAAAAATAAATAAATAAAATTACTTTGCTTCCATTTGCCCCTCCCCTACAATAAATCACACACTGCACCCCTCACACAAGCAAGCCAACCCTCACACACATTGCACTCCTCACACTCACTTCACCTCTCACAGATACAAACTGTACCCCTACACACTAGAACCCATACTTGACCAGGGGTAGACAACCTCTTGATACCTACCACCCACTAATGCATCTTTCTTGATGGAAAAAAATTTCTTACCGCCCACCAGATTAAGATTTTTTTTTTAGTGCAAGTGCGGAATATTTTTTAGAAAGGAGGGTGTTTTTTTTTTTAAAAAAATATATAAATAAATGAATAAACATTTTTACTTACATGAATTTTTTTTATTTCTACTTTATGCATGTTTATGTTTTTAACTTTAAAAAGTTTAATGAGAAAACAAAGTAAATTAAAATGACCTTCAACTACTGATTCATTGTCTTTATTCTCTCCTTCTTTCTTTTATTTTATAAGTAAACAAAACTTAGCTTGCCAAAACATGAGCCACTCTACACACTATGCTTCTGCCTATCCATGCTTTCGCATTTGTGCATCAGCTCCCCTCCTCAATTTTTTCCTTTCTTCTTTTATTTTACCTTCCTTATAGCAATGCACAGCAGAAAGGCTGAGCTAGGTAGCCCACTTTTTTTTAGCCAACAACAATTCGCTCCTTCCTATATTTTTATTTTCCTTCTTTCTCCTATTCTACAAGTACTCCACTCCCTGCCATCATGTATTCCCCTACTCCAACTCCTCCCCTTCCTCTACCCGCGTGTTACACTCGTTCGCACGCATCTGCACGCCCGCACTTCCTGCTAACCACTGAGTGCACGAGAGATGAATAGAGCGCTCATCTCTCTGGATGGAGGGGGATTCTGCTTGTGCTGTAGAACCCACTAACGCCCACCTGGAATCCTGAAACGCCCACTAGTGGACGACACCCATATACTAGACACTACTTCCCTTATACACACTAGATTCCAGACACACTCTACATCCCTTATATATGCACTGCACCCCTTAAACACACTCTAGATACTCTACAAAAATACACTCTCGACAGCCCCTACACACACTACATAACTTACGCACACACTCACTATGACCCCTATACACACACTACCTCTTGCACTCTACAGCCCTTATCTACACATCTACACATTTTACACCACAAACAAAACTACAGAAACCTACCTATTTACACAAAACACCAGACCGCAACCAATTCATCCTACAAACACATGCACCCAGGCCCCCCCCGCCCAATAAGTAGCCTCCAAACACATACACAATACGCTCTCCTAGCTCTTTGGTCACTTATGGAGACACCAGAAACAAGTTAGAAGTAAACACAGTGCAAGCATGTCATTAAATTTGCTTTTGCTGCACAGAACATGCAAGAGCTCCTTAGTAGGGCCCTGTGCATGTTCTGCCCTGGAAGAGCATTGAACCGAAACGCTCACTTTGAGAGGGGTGTGCATTCTTTTGAAAAGGAAGTGGCTTAGGAGGCAGGCTTATAGTTACATAGTTACATAGCTGAAAAGAGACTTGCGTCAATAAGGTTCAGCCTTCCTCACAAATGTTGTTGCTGTTGATCCAAAAAAAGGCAAAAAACATGGTCTGAACCGCTTCCAATTTTGCCATAAACTAGGAAAAAATTTCCTTCTTGACCCCAAAATAGCAGTCAGATGTCTCCTTGGATCAAGCAGCTATTACCCCACTAATTAGAAATGATATCGCTGTATGTTATGTTTTTGTAAGTATTTATCCAATTTCAGTTTAAACATCTGTATGGACTCTGACAAAACCACCTCTTCAGGCAGAGAATTCCATGTCCTTATTGTTCTTACTGTAAAAAAACCTTTTCTTTGCCTTAGATGAAATCTCCTTTCTTCCAGCCTAAATGTGTGACCTCGTGTCCTATGTATAGCCATGTTTATGAATAGATTTCCAGATAAAGGTTTGTATTGGCCCCGAATATATTTGTATAAAGTTATCATATCCCCTCTCAGGCGCCGTTTTTCCAAACTAAACAGATTTAATTTTTTTAACCTTTCTTCTTAACTAAAATGCTCCATTCCTTTTATCAATTTTGTAGCTCGTCTCTGGACCCTCTCCAGTGCCATGATATCCTTCTTTAGAACAGGCGCCCAAAATTGCACAGCATATTCAAGGTGTGGTCTTACCAGCGATTTATAAAGAGGCAGAATTATATTTTCATCCCGAGAATTTATGCCCCTATTTATACATGACAAAATCTTACTGGCCTTAGCAACTGCAGATTGACATTGCATATTGCTGCCTAATTTGTTGTCTATAACAATTCCCAAATCCTTCTCGTGTGTGGTTATCCCTAATTCACTACCATTTAGTGTGTAAGTTGCTTGTGCATTCTTAACCCCGAAGTGCATAACTTTGCATTTCTCTATGTTAAATTTCATCTGCCATTTTAGTGCCCAGTGGAGAATTTTGCTAAACATTTATTATTTATGTGCAAAAAGTATAAAGATTTGATCAAGCAAAAATACAACATACTAATGAGGCCATAATATATCTTTCACACTTTAAAATTGTATTGATGCCTGAGTGTCACTTTAAGTAGCTTATAACTAAGTGGAGCGAATCTCGTTTAACCCCTTAAGGACCAAACTTCTGGAATAAAAGGGAATCATAACATGTCACACATATCAGGTGTCCTTAAGGGGTTAATATTGCTTATAAATAACCTTTTAATGACATATTACTTCAGTTTTGTATTTCAATGTTTTGTACGACTCCTGAATTAATTACATATAAAAAAAAAAAAGAAACAAGTGTGATATAATTTGTGATCGTATGCTCTTGCTGATTCTTCTGGTAAAATGCAGGGCATGCATTCAAATCACAGAACAGGAATTTAGCAGGACTGTCCTCTATCACAGCACAAATCAGATTGCAGGCAGTTGTTTAAACATCTGTATTAGAAAGCTCAACTTTAGGTTATGACTAACAAATATTCCACACAGCTCACTTCCAAATATTTATATCTGAGTGGGATAAAGAAGAAGAAATCCAGATTAAATATAAACACGTGCATACCTCCCCTACCTTTCAACACAATTTGGATAGGCATTTTACTCTAAGGACAAATGGGTTAAGGTGTATCCAGAGCTTACTGCGTTAAAAACAAGATTAAATGGTCGGTCTCTCAAACACGGAGACACCATTTATACATTGTGCAAAAAGAGCTATCAGTTATAGGTGCATGATTAAAAGTCATAATTAGAAGATTAGAGATTAAACACTTTGTTCTATAAACTTAGTTTTCCTTTTGATTTCTTTTTACACTGCCTCTTTTTCCAAACGTATCAATTCCTTTGGATTCTGCTACCACCTATATGACCGCGAGACCCAGATATATCTCTCCTCCGCTGTCCTACAATACGTCACCGGTTGCCTTTCTTCCATCTCTGATTGGCTGTCCTCCCACTTTCTGAAACTCAAGCTCTCCAAATCTGGGCATCTTATTTTTTCTTCTCATACTAATGATCCTCCTTTTTTTGCTCTAACTGCAAGTTGATGGTACCTTCATCAGCCTGTCCTTGCAAGCTTGCAATCTTCGATTTTGGCCTCACCTTTGTGCCCCACGTCCATTCTGTTGTTCATGTTCTAGTAATTTTTTTTTTATTGATTACTGTAATTCTCAACTTATTGGTCTGCCCAGAAACCATACTGACCTGCTACAGTCTGTAATAAACTCTACTGCCAGGCTGTTTTTTTTCTCTCCTGTTGCTATAGAAGTCAATTCAAAATATAACCCTTACCTATAAAACTCTGAACAACTCTAGTCCCAGTTCGTTCACCAATTCATAGGTATGAATGACTCGCGCGATGTAAATTTATATTTAAACCCTTCTTATAATATTGTAAAGCTCTATAGGGTTGCAGGGTGTGTATGGGATGCAAGTTGTATCTGTGAGAGGTGAAGTGAGTGTGAGGAATGCAATGTGTGGCACTATAAAAAAATCCCCAAAATAAAATGATAAAAATGGGCACACACACACATAGTGATGGCCACTATTTGCGTTTCAAATAACATGGGATGCCTGCTACTGAGGGAGGGAGAGGGACTATAGAGAGTGTGTATCAGTGGGCATGTGTCATTGAGTTGGATATGAGAGAGAGAGAGAGAGTGTGTGTATGTATGAGCGAGTAGACGACATACATGTGTGACATGTCACGATTCCCTTTTATTCCAGAAGTTTGGTCCTTAAGGAGTTAAGAGGACGGGGTATGGTTTGGAAGTCTTGTCAGAATGTGTTGTTGTATGTCTGATTGGTATAGTGCGATAGTGTTGTATGAGGGTTTGAATGAAAGGTGGCAAAAAAATGCAGAAAAGACTACAAGTTGATCGGTATGCCTGTGGATGTTGTGTTCCACTGAGTATTGGAAGAATGTCACGTTTCTGTCGTATGTATCTTAGTGCAAGCGAATAATGCTATAGGTGATAACTTCTTGTCGTTATGTAAATGCTGCAATCCCTTGTCCGATGTTGCCTTCTTAGGACATATTGAAAAAGAATATGACAACAACAATGAACTGATTAAGAACAATACGGTTAATATAGAACTGGCTGGCTAACTAGTGCCGAAGCAAAAAGTTCTCTACCACGTGACAAGTGAGGCCCTACTAGTTACCAAGCGGCTGCTGAGAGGCTCTACCTATGATTTGGGCGTGGGGCTTGCACCACTAACGTGGTGGTGGCGGCCTCTCGGTGACAGTAAAAGATCCAAAACGTGAGGCCCTAACTATAAACTCGATAGGTGGGTGAATGCGAGGCTCTAACTATGATTTGGGCCGAAAATCTCTGTGTTGAGATTGGGGAGTTGGCCTCGCGGGACCAGCTATGTTGTACAGTTAAGGCCAGCTCCTAACCCTAGATAGCCAGTTCTCTGACCCTAGATGGGGGCTTAATAAGGGGGTAACGTAACGTGCTGGGTATGCCCAAGTTGTGGTTTATGATAGGTACCTGGAGATTCCCAGTCGGAGAAAGAGAAAAAGAAGGGAGGGAAAGGAGGAAAGAAACTGTGGTCGAGGGAAAGAGAATTATATGGAGTATAGTGCAGTTCTTGGAGATATAGCGGATAGTATAGTATCCTTAGACCCTGAGGGTGCTGAAGATTCTAGTGATGGCTTCTATATATCCCTGAAGGGAGATGTAGGAAGGCGTTGTGCCAAGAAAGCGTGATAGTACCTGCAGGAGAGAGGAGGGTGAAATTAGCAAGGTAGTGAGTAACAGGACGAATGTTACGGATAGTGAGTTTGAATGAACGTATGAGTGAAGCCGTGGCCTGACGAGGCAAGGCAGGAATCAAGCCCCCGTACGCCAATGCCCAATCGTGTAACAACGTGGCCTTGTAGAGGCAGTTTGGAATGTGAACAAAAAATGTATTTATACCTGATAGAAACAGGCGACAATCGCGAACCAGTAAATTGTCTAATGGTAGCAGATGACAATATGCAACAACAATCATAATTTGCGAAACGAATATATAACTTTTTTTTTTTTTAAGTTTGGGCTGCGTGGAGGCACTGTTGATTTCAATTAGGAAAACTGCAGTCTGAGACAGACAATAGGCAGCTGTTGAGGAGAATAGCTCTCAACATATTCAGGCAACCACATTATACTCCAAACTAGCTATTAATATAGCTTGTACATAAGGCTTATCACACTCAGCTGCTGTATAAAATCTGCCTTACTTGGTGCTGATTGTGATGGGTGTGGTGATCCATGCAGATAGCGCAGGACCCGAACGGGTAATGAAGCAGACGCGGTGTACGCAAGGGATTTTTTTTAAGGGCAGCGATCTGCAGAGCACGCAGAGTGGCAGTGAATAGCGACGTGAATTAAGACTAATTAGGTACAGATTGCATATTCGGGTAGATGCTAGCGTACCCACTTTAACAGGTACTGAGGGCTGATGTACCAAAAAGAAATCGATGGGACAGGTTGGTAAGTGACAAAGTATTAACCTGACTTCTGAAAGGGCATAGTGCCAATATGAGCGTAATTTGGTATACATCAGAAATATATATATATATATATTTTAATAATTGACCATATTATGACTACTTGACACTCTCTGTGACTAGAGCCAACGCCAGCTTAATAGATTTCATACGTAATTAAACATGTCATGCCATAATACATATCCTGCTTCGCATCTATGACAACAGAGGAATGTGTGATATACTGATAATAAACCATTTCCATTATAGTCCATTTAAATGGTCAGCTCAAGGATCTCAAATACTCTAAGACCTGGAAATAATGCCACCACTTTAAATCAAGTTGGTACCCTAATTGAGACATTTCCATTCCATAGGTATGGAGTAATTGAGCTAAACCACCAACAGAGGGATTGTACTGAAAGTGCATTTCTGCACACTGTTCTAATTCCTTGGTCACCAGATTCAACAGACCACTATATATATATATATATATATATATATATATATATATATATATATATATATAGATAGATAGATAGATAGATAGATAGATAGTGGTCGATAATGAATTGACCTGGTATGACAGATATTCGTACTGGATCAACTTTAAAACGTGAAGTAATTGTATATGTGAACGGCGGGAATAGCCCGAACGTGGCTATTCCAGCCGGTTACCCGGCCATTCATATGGTTTGCGTTTCGACGCTGGAAGTGTTGGTTGATTTACCCCGAATGGAGGGGGGAGTGGGGCTCTGAACTTGGCGGGATGTGCGGCCAGAAGTGCGAGTCGAGGAGACGCGAGGACCAGGAGTGAACAGCGTGTGTACAGCAAGGTAGGAAGTAGCATTTATATAGGAACGCTAACTCCTCCCACACATACAGGCCTTCGGTCTTAAACTTATAGATTTTCAGTATATCCTTGGTTAGCAGAACTTTGCAATGTGCGTTATTTCACAGGACCACTCCATTAAATCAAGGCTACTCTGATGAAGTTACACTTGACATTCGTGCCACAGCAGACCTAAAAAGACTTCCTTTCACACTGAAATTGGAAAATAATGTTCATTACCCCACTGTCCGACGATTCCCCTGTTATCTGGACAGACACGGACACCCTCACAGGATTTGCAGCAAGATAGGACAGATGGATTAGCCGGTCTCATGTCCCATGGAAGATCATTAACACAAGCTGCCCTATCAACAAATGTAAAACGTTCATACAAATGAGCACTCACTATTTTCAATAACTTCATTACTGAATCTCAGATCAGAAACCTGTTCACCATCGATCCAAGGCATACATCACGTACTGAGTGTTTTTCCAGCTAAGATTTATGTCCACCTTTCCAATAAAAAAATAAATATCCCCAAAGATATACAATGCTTCGCTTTTCCTAAAGCTACAAAACGTCAACCTATAGAGGGGCCAAAATGTAGGGCACTGTCAGAGGTGTCCAGTATAAAATACTCCATCAACTTACAGATCTTGGGAATACACCTCTGGTGTATAATATATATTCCTACATGACAAAACCTCAAATAAAATATGTATATTAAAAGTTATCTGAAGATTAAGCTTATAGTCTTCAAGACAACACAAGACTGGGTCACAGCTGCTAGCAAATATTTCTCACAAATAGATTTGTAAGTTTTGTGATGCTGTGGAAATTGGATTTGGGAATGATGGTATTTATTATTATTATTTTTTTAAAATTTGATCACCTAGTAAAATAAAGTTTTACAAAATAAAAATGGCAATATTATATAAATAGATATACTGAAAAGAAAACCAAGGCTCACATATAATACAATTTATAATGTTTTAGAGGTACCTAAAAACTGATTCATTCACCCTATTTTTCCAGTTTGGTTGATCCAACACTTCATTATTTTTGGTTTCCCATATTCTTTTTTGTTATTGTGTGTGTCACTGGTATGAAGCAGTGTATTCCATGCAGTACTTATTTCTGGTTTCCTTCAAAGGGACTTCTAGATTTTTCGATAGTAGATTAGATTTTTCGATAGTACAAGTAAGTATTTTAGACGTAAGTAGTTAATCTATACAAACGAATAACTAAAATACAAGTGCAGCAATTTACTGTCATACCACGGAAAAAATCTGTGATGCGGTCATACACAGAGTTCCTAGGAAATAGGATGTGTGGAATTCATTCCCAGAAAGAGATTATAAATATGGAGGGATGTTTTATACCACAATCATATGATAAACATCTTTTACAATTACCAATATCATTTTCAAATGATGTCTGTTCATTTCAGTAGTTCTTAACTCTTGATCTACACCCTAATTCAGGTCCTCTTGCCATTTTTAAAGCAGCCTTATCTTCACTATACAATTGGTAAAAGGGTCAAAATAAAGTGGTGTATTTAATTTGGGTCCCAGTCAAAAAAGATTACAAAGCACTGATCTAATTTGTAAAGAGTCTCTCATATTGCAGTCCATCAAGTAGTCACGTTCTGCCAACGATTTAAAGCAGGTGAAGTGAGCAGATGGCAAAATCTAGTTATGAGTAGGATTCAAATGGAAATGAGTTGATTAAAAACATAGGAGGGTAAATAATGTTAATGTCAAGAAGGACCTAGGAGAATATTCATAGGAATGGATTTTATTGAAACGGAATATATACATTATTTAGGTCAAAAGAGTAGAGCAAAGTTAGAGTGTCACGGACGGATATACCTTAAACCAAGAACTGTCAGGAATTGATCAGGCCATCCCATTGTTTAGGCCAAAATAGCCAAACGGAGAAGAAAAAAAAAAAAAAAAAAAACTCTTTCTGATTGCCTGCTTATGGCTTCATAATTGAAATCCCTTTGTCGGTTATATCCCAATTAAATGGTTTAGCAAATACACAAATATGTTTGCTATCCTGCTTTTCTGAATCTAATCCTACTCTGGCACTAACAAAACATTTCACTTTAGATCATTAACTTTATGAAAAAAAGAATCATACCCTGCACTAAGTCATATGATTGCGATGACAATGAATACACAGCACATCAAAGGCGCATGGTTACGCAGAACTGACGCCAATAACAGATTGGCACAAACTTTACACATTGAGAAACAACTTGTTGCAACACAATCTAATCGCATACATGATGAGATATTGAATACTTTATGATGTCACGTCTCTTTATCCTGCATGTTCTGTTCTTTGGTGTCGGTTTTGAAATCAGGAAGACAAACAGTAGTAGCTTCCTAGACAGCAATCTTATATTTAGGATTTTGCAGACTTTAGGGCTAAGTTGTACAATAAATGTTTAACCGCAAAAATAACGGCACCTGGGACCTCCTGGGAGAATGTTAAAGGGGCACACTTGGCACCATAACCACTGTTGGTGGCAGTCATCCTATTTAAGAACCAAGGCTATATATACACACCATATTTTTATAAACACAAATACAATCAGTGGGTGTTTATATTAATGAAATGTGCTACACATACTTAGCCACAAAATACTGTAAATATTAGTCTTTTAAATCTGAAGAAAATAATTCAAAATATGGAGAAACATCAATATTGAAGCCTCCCCAAAAAATATACATTTATTAAAGACTACAGTTAGGGACACTGTAGACACTCTAAGCGTTTCAAATCAGTGAAGTGATTATAGTCCAGAGTACCCAGGCGCTGTCCTTCCATTCAGGATTAAACCATTTTTTAATGCTAAACGAGAGACCCAGCAACCTATTCCCTCTGTGTTACTTGATCTCACGAGGAAGCATTAGCCTGCGCAGCAATGGGCGGCTATCCTTTGCGGAGATTGTCTACCGACTGCACTCATCCTATCACAGTTGCATTGCAGGTTGGAATCAGTATGGCAGCAAGTGTGCAATCTTTGATTTAACCACACCTCCTGGGGAACAGGGGCTATGGGAAACCAGGGGGCTTCATTCAGTGCTAAATTGTTTGGAAATGTCTTATCCACGAAGTGACAATGCCTGGGGACTCCATGCACTATAATTTATTCAATAAAATCGGTTTTAGTGCCTACAATGTCCCTTTAAAAATACACTTCATGCACCATAACCACTATGGAACACTACAGTTGTTATATTTCCAGACAGACAGAGCTTGTTTGCAACCTGCTTACCTGGTGTTCATGGGGCACTGGTTACTTAGACTATGGAGGGTGAGATAGCCTAGCTGAAAGTTTGTTGGATAATTTATTTAAAGGGGTAATCTAATGATCAGAACAATCATACATGCTGAGGCACTGTTCCTTGGTTAAACAATTTTCATGTAGGTTGTAATAAAAAGGGGGCCTGTAAGGCATCTGTGACCCCAGCCTTATGCATTAGCAATTATGGCAAGTGGAGACTGGGTGCCACAGGGACACTATTTGGTCAAACAGCTCAGAAACAGTTTGATCATACAGCAGAGCATGACACACAGAGGCCACTGACACTATAATCACTATATCCCAACGTGGTTATGGTGCCTAGGTAACTCCTCCTAAATTCTGACAGGTTTGTAGCAAACATATCAAAGTGAAACATTTACATTTTCTCTGTGGGTATGGGTGCCACAAATACACCACTGCACAAGACTCCTTGCATACTACATCATAAAACACTATAGGTTTTAGAGTGTTTAAATAAACTGCTGTAGGATTACTGTGAAATCAAGGGACAGGGTGTAAAACGTTTATCACTACTAACGCCACACATTGAATATGCAATATAATATGGCTACCTCTGAGTCATATTATAAATTGGGTCTTTAAAAAAAAAAAAAAAAGGCAGCAATATGATTAACAGGAACAAAAAATAAAGGTTTTTTTTTTTGTTTAAGCAGGACCCATTTACACTGGGGAAAACATAGAATGTGACAGCAGATAAGAACCATTCGGCCCATCTAGTCTGCCCAATTTTATAACTTTGTGCCCAACTTTCATTAGTCCCTGGCCTTATCTTATAGTTAGGATAGCCTTATGCCTATCCCACGCATGCTTAAACTCCTTTACTGTGTTAACCTCTACTACTTCAGCTGGAAGGCTATTCCATGCATCCACTACCCTCTCAGTAAAGTAATACTTCCTGATATTATTTTTAAACCTTTGCCCCTCTAATTTAAGACTATGTTGTTGTGGTAGTTTTTCTTCTTTTAAATATAGTCTCCTCCTTTACCGTGTTGATTCGCTTTATGTATTTAAATGTTTCTATCATATCCCCCTGTCTCATCTTTCCTCCAAGCTATTCATGTTCCTTTAACCTTTCCTTGTAAGTTTTATCCTGCAATCCATGAACCAGTTTAGTAGCCCTTCTCTGAACTCTCTCTAAAGTATCAATATCTTTCTGAAGATACGGTCTCCAGTACTGCGTACAATACTCCAAGCAAGGTCTCACCAGTGTTCTATACAATGGCATGAGCACTTCCCTCTTTATACGGCTAATACCTCTACCTATACAACCAAGCATTCTGCTAGCATTTCCTGCTGCTCTATTACATTGTCTGCCTACCTTTAAGTCATCAGAAGTAATCACTCCTAAATCCCTTTCCTCATATGTTGAGGTTAGAACTCTATCAAATATTCTGTACTCTGCCCTTGGGTTTTTACGTCCAAGATGCATTATCTTGCACTTATCCACATTAAATGTCAGTTGCCACAATTCTGACCATTTTTCTAGTTTACCTAAATCATTTGCCATTTGGCTTATCCCTCCCGGAACATCAACCCTGTTACTAATCTTAGTATCATCAGCAAAAAGACATACCTTAACATCAAGACCTTCTACAATATCACTAATAAAAATATTAAAGAGAATGGGTCCAAGTACTGATGCCTGAGGTACCCCACTGGTGACAAGTCCAAGCTTCGAATATATTCCATTAACTACAACCCTCTGTTGCCCGTCACTCAGCCACTGCCTTACCCATTCAACAATATTGGAATCCAAACTTAAAGATTGCAGTTTATTGATAAGCTTTCTATGTACAAATGTGTCAAAAGCCTTACTGAAATCTAGGTAAGCAAGGTCTACTGCACCACCCTGATCTATTATTTTAGTTATCCAATCAATCAATAAGTCCAATCAAAAAATCAATAAGATTAGTTTGGCATGATCTCCGTGAAGTAAACCCATGTTGTCTCTGATCTTGAAATCCATGTGTTTTTAGATGTTCAACAATCCTATCCTTTAACATGGTTTCCATTACTTTCCCCACTAGTAAAATGTGCAACTAAATGGATAAGACCAGCATACAGCATAAAATAAACACACCTAGAACTTATTTTAACCCAGTGCAGCTCCAGCAATGCTCTTAACATAAAAGAAAATGAGATATATTACACATAGATTTGTGTTGTGGAATTCACTTCAAATTAACTTATTTTGACAGACCCCATTGTTGCGGATTTTCCAACCTGATTTACAGTAGGTACACAGTTGCGTTCATCAATAAGTTTGGCATCGATGAGTCAGTAAAAAAAAATTTTTTAAAAAGACGTTAACAAAGGGTATTACTTGCAAGTAGTGCTTCAAGATCAATAATAGTAAATAAATTAGCAAAAACGTATAAAAAGGCAAAATTCCAGTGTTTATATTTCCCATTACACTGGAGTACATGAAAAAAACACATTTAAAAAAAACCCCCCAAAAAAACAAACATGTTTTCATAATAGATTCCCTTTAACTCTGTTAAAAGAATACCATGAAAGTGAATTTAAATACAGTTCAAATTACTCTTTTTTTTCTCAGAGTACTTGTGAGTGGATGACAGACTGACATTTGTCCCTTCCCTCCCAGATAAAATAAATGTATCAATATACACGCATACAGGGAGAAGAATTTCTTCATTTTCATAAAAGACTGGATATACAGAAAATAAATAAAAACAAAATTAGACAAGAGATAAACACTTGTATACATTACTAATGAGAGGTAATCAGCTATTGGCCAAAAAGAATCAGTGCACCCTATTGGCAAGCATTTCACATAGCAAACAGAGAGCAATCCAGATATAGCCATCAGGTAGTTCACCTGCTAGGGAAGACTACATCTCCCATGAGAGCAATACTCGCCAACATGTCCACACTAGCTGTTGGTAAAAGGTTGCAAGTGACCATCGGTGTAGACAAACCAACCTGTGCATACATTTTAACTGCAGCACACATTGTCCCTTAGAATGCATCTTGAATAACACTGGCAGAGATTGCACAAATGATTTAAGAATTTGCTAATGATAGACAAAAAGAAAATATGTTCAATGACTGCCTGTTCAAGTCCAAGATAAACGTTTCATGATGATACTCCCTTCTAACGGATTTCCATAAACTAGCCGTTCGTAATGTCAAACTAACTGACTCTTTCCTGGCAATGTAATTTTTTTTTCAGAATTTTTGCCAATAAAGACCTGGACAATTTCAAGAAAGGTTCCAGGAATATCGGGACCTTGCAACTTGGGAGGGACAACAGTCTAAGATGAGATCCTTTGGGACCATATTTCCTATGCAGTGATATTACTGTAACGGACAATTAAAATTCACTTGAATGAGGTGACGCCTTAGGAAATGGTATTTGTAAGTGTGCCTGATGAAGCCGGCTGTATCAGCTGCTAGGGAATCTGCTGGCAGCTGATGCGAGTTATCTGGAGCAAGAGAAGAGGTGTGATAAATTGCTGAGCACATCCAAAAAAAAAAAAAAAAAAAAAAAAAAAAAAAAAAAAAAAAAAAAAAAAAAAAAAAGCTAAGGAAAGAGATACAGAATTATAGCCTAGTAGGCTGGTACCAACTTTATATCTGAATGAGCGTACCTTAACTATTTCACTGCAGGCCTTGCAACAGATTTAAATTTCAGAAAAATTGTTTAAAAATGAAAATAAAATATAAATGTCCTGTAACTTGAAAATACTGTGAAATATTAAATTTCTAGCACAAAAAGGAAACAAACATTAAAATTATTGCTACAAGTGATGCGCTTTACGATATCCGACAGAAGATCTGCTCCGCCGCCTGTTAACCCCCTAAGTACAGATACAGATGGGAATTCCTGCACCAGAACAGCCGTAAGCAACATGGCATTGTCAATGTCAAATGTTATAACTTATCTCTTCTTTTATGTTACACATCTTAAAGATGTTCAAACACATTCATTAAAAATAAACCGTATTATATATTTTTGTTTTGCCTTTTTTTGGATGAGTAACAAAAAAAACCCCCAAAAATTAAACGGAGTATAAAAAAAAAAAAAAAAAATTTCAAAAAAGCAACAAGTTCAATATTTATAAAGTATAAAATGTCTTTCCGGTAACAAATGTCCTCTGTATAAGCAATCTAACGTTTAACTGTAGTGATTTGCTGTTAATACAAGACGATATCCGTGTTCTTGCGTGTAGTGTTCATCTTGCTGGCTCCATAAAAAAACAAAAAAAACCCACGTGCTTGAATAGCTATAAAATGCTCAGTATAGGAGGTATTTTACAAAAACATTTTAAAAAATGAAGACTAATATAGCATCCTAAGGCACTGTGTGGAGGAAGCTTTATACAAGCGGTGCGATAGTCTGTGAAGTCCTTGCAGTGCCAATCCTGATAAGCAACAGGCTTCGGCTTTCACACATAGGCTCCAAGTGCTGAATGGAATTCAGTTAGGCACTGTACCAGTTGCTGAAATTTGGGTCTCTCTTCTGGGTCTAATGCCCAGCAGCATGCCATGACCGCAAACCTGAAAATGAAGAGCATATGTGAGGTTAGGAAGTGTGGAAATGGAGTGCAAGAGCAAAAACTCCCACCTAAGAAGCTGATAGTGTACACTTAGATCAATAAAAGGATAATTTGGTTAGTATCAGTGAAAACAAAAGTATAGATTGAGAAAGGACATGCACATAGATTGATATATTTCAACTTATGTGACATGTAAATCATCTCTACTAAAGTAGCCTTTTATTGTAAGATGCAGTCCACATATGAAGCAAGCCTGTCACTCAATGAAACTTCCCATTAATCAATGGAGGATAATAACGTTGGAGATGTGTAAATATTTTACATAATTTAAAAAAAAACATCTGCATTTCATGTGCTGGCCTATGTCAGCTCCCAGAATGCATCAGGCCACACTCACTGGTGCATATGTTTTACCCTTCTAAATGTACTTTAAGTTGTTCTCTATCTGGTGCTGAAAACACAAAATAACTAAACGAATATGCCCACAGAGTTTTACTGCAATACTAGTAGACTGAAAACTGAATAGAAAAACAAACCATCCATCATAAAAATCTTAACACGAAGAAATGTTATGATCTATTGATTAATGTCAAGGTTTTTTTCAGGTGAAATATGTGCTTTATAGTCATCCCCCACATTAAAGATGCAAAGTTGCAATGGGCCTCAGCGTAAAGACCCATGAATCAGCAGATGTTTATGGAATAGATGCATAGCACACTTACAATGGCAGGAAAAACATTAGCCAAAAAATCTCTACTCCAGTCTCAAGAAATATGTGCTGAAACTGAGCTTTTTAACAAATAGGTTAACGTTAGGTTTGGAAATTCATATTTCCCACTAGCCATTGATGAGTGAAGATTTTGTAGACATTCTCTCTTGGAGGGTATACTGTGCCTTTCAGTGTGGAGTAAACTTTTAAGGTCTGGCTGGTAGCATAAAACTACAAATTTCAAGGCCTTTTCCCACTTAGTGTTTCAGTAATTAAAAGTGTTTAAAAATGATTTCTTGAATGCTTGAAAGATAATCATATTAAGACTATCATCCAGAAATTGTAACCCAGATCAGTAAATGAGAATGCAAATCTACAGTAGGTAGACCAGCAGGAATTCTACCTGAAAGTATGCCTAAAAATAATTAGGTTGCCTGTGTGACTAGCATGCAAACGTATATGTTCGGCACATGTATTTTGAAAAATATTGAGAACATTCTTCAGAAATGCAGATACTCACAGCTCATCAGGACAGTTGATTGGCTGAGCTATTCTATAGCCATCTTTCAGGTAAGCAGCCATTTCAAACGGGTCAATATCAACATAAGGAGTCTGTCCAAGTGTCATCAGTTCCCACAAGGTCACTCCAAACGCCCACTGCAAAAATAAATATCATAATGCATTATTGGCAATATTATAGTAATTTCTTGTATACTCCATTATACACAAATATACGGTATATATATAATAAATGAAAGAACAGAGTGTAAAATGAACTACAGATGGTTCTTGGCAAGCCTATTTTGTGTCTCTTCTGAAAGGTAATTAGCGTGCAATTTATTGATTTGACAAATTACAGTAAGAAAATATGAGATCTGGATGAAACGGTCAGGAATCTGAGAAAACAATCAGTTATTTTCAACAAAATGACTGCTGTTCACTAGACCGTTCAAGTAAGACAGTGCATTACAATAGAACTGCTCACTTTAATGAAATGCTAAAGCATAAATGGGAGATACATTAAACAGTATTATTTACACTGTTATGGATAAATTATTTGTGTTAAAATGGCTAAGCATCACAACTAGGACTGAAAGATCTTCATATTAGCCCAAATTCCATCAGCCTCAAACCGTTCCCCTCTCTAATCCTGAAGTTTAACATGGCATTGCAGACTGTTTGAACAAGGTCACAGACAAGTTAAAAGGGCATG